ACTGTCTTGGGTGCTCTGACTATCCCGGCTCCTCCCAAAGCAACATTTTCTTGTCTGTTATGGTTGTCTTTGTTCTCTATCAGTCTTCATAGATGCCAGTCATCCCCAAGCTGTGTTTTTCAGATGTCTTAGACTACAACTCCCATGACCTTTAGCCAGAATGGCTGGTAGGCCGAACTATTTCTGTAAATAACAGGGCTGTGCAGCTCTTTGGATCTGATTCCAGACGGGTCCTTTGGAGTGACAGCAGCATGAATGCAGCCCTTGTCTGCAGCTCTTTAAAGCGGCTGCATCTTTTCCGGGATCATGGAAGAGATGCAGATTTTGAACTATAGATGGTGGCCGCAGAACAATTGTTGGCTCTAACACAGACCTTTTTGCACCAGTGAACAGACAGGGAGGGGGAATAAGGAACGGAAAAGTTCCCCACCAAAACAGAATTTCAACCCAAGGCTTCTCCAGGCCTAAGCCAATTCCTGTCTGCAAGCCAGACTTGGGTTTAGATCAAGAATGCTGGAAGATAAACTGTGAATGTGTGCAGAAGAGCACTTCCTGACCATTCATTTGAGCAAATTTTTTTTTCCTGATAGTCAGATGCCTCTGTGTATTCTGAACCCAAAGCTTTTCTTGTTTCAGCTGAACCGTGGCGCCGATGCATTTTCCTCCACTCGACTTGGTTCCTATGTAAATATAAAAGAAGCTTGCGTGATATTCAGTGTGGGCTATTTTTTCCCATGGTTACTGGATTAATGGCCTCTCATAAATCGTAAGGGGGCGAAGACTAGGAGTGTCCTGCCTGCCCCCCAGATGTAAAATTAAATATCTCAGCAACTCCTAATGGAAATCTGAAGGTAAAGGTATCGGTGTGCTTCTTTGGTGCCTTGGAAAACAACAAACTGGGGAGAACTAGGATCTATAAATAGAAAAAAGGGCTCTAGGGAAGAAACAGGAGATACTAGAACAAAGGGGAAAGTAAGTGGAACAAGGCAAGAGGTCTGTTCACTTTGATTCAGTTGAGGAACTTTTGTTCACCAAGTTGTGGAAACAGAACCGTTCTTTCCTGGAGCCCTTTGTTGAAAGATTAAACTGATATACACTTGATAAACAGATAAACACAGACACACACCCCTTTAATCTCAGGGTTTCAGAAAGAAATCCAAGGGTGGCAGGAGTTCTGGAAGGAGGAAGAGGTAAAAAGAATTTTTTTTTTTGGTTTGGCCTGCATTTGCTTCTCTGCTGTATGATGCTCTGAACCCATACAATTTAGGAGTTTCCCGTTTCCTTTCCCCGCACTAGAATGGCCGCTTTACCGCTTTTCCAGTTGGATTTCTTTTCTTAACTTCTGTTGCCTGACAATATGCTCAGCTGTGGCCCTGAAGAATCGCCCTTGCTGATTGAGGATGGCAGGCTGTTGTTGTCCCGCAGATCTGGAAAGCTCAGGGGTTGAGAACGTTGGTACAGAATTGTCCACTCATAGTTTGGTCTAAAGTATGCCGGCTTCCTGAATGTCAGGAACATCCCAGTTTGTTGGACATATAGCTTTTTAGTTTTATATTGGCACTGCCTGGCAGGAGTTTTCCCAGCCAAACACATATTGGTTCTACCACCAAGCTACTGCTTTAGTGCCTGGTTACTGAAATGAGCGCACGGTAAAGACAAAAATCCTTAGCAACTAGCAGAACATCCATTGCTGCTGGATGATCAGTGGAGCTTTTCATGCCGAAAAGGAAGCAGGGAATGGGCCCAAGGTTTTGCAATAATGACCTTTTTCCTGAGGTTCCAAACGGCTGAGTAAAGTTCAGGGTGCAGATGCTGAACGCTGAAGTTCATTCGGTGCGTTCAGTAGCAGAATCACAATATCTTGCTTTTCGACGTTCTGTTCTATGCCGGAATCGCTGGTGGAGTCCAGCGAGATGCATCTGAGCATAAAAAGAGGAGAGAGCATCAAGTCTCTGAGACACAACTGTAGTATTTCTAAGCGGGGATGGGATAGCTGACCCTTAATGGAGAGCTGGTGTGGTACAGATCAGAGCGAGGATGAGAAATCTTTGGTTTGTATGAACTTCAGCAGGTTTTGGCCTGTTTCACACCTTCAATTTTCCCCTTCAGACTATAGGATCGGCGTGGTGGTGGTGGTGGTGCCCCAGATTCAACCCCCCCCCCCAATCCTGAAGCTTGTTAGATGACCTTGAGATTTTGCTACTTCTCAGCCTGATTTCTTCCCAAGGCTAGCATGAGAATGAAAGGAAGATTCTTATGCATCACTTTGAGTGCCTTGGAAGAAGCTGAGATTTTCTGGGAACAGAGGCCGGAAAAGATGGCCATTCTGATGGAAAACACTAGCTTCAGACTGCAGGAGAGAAGGGCAGAGAGAAGCCTCATTCCTGCTTGCTCTGATGAAGGATCAACTCTACTGTTTGGATGAAAGAAAGCTTGGTGCTTTGATGGCAGGGAGATGGTTAATCCCCACCCATTCCACTGGATCCTGAAATTGCCAGGAGCCTTTGTTTGTGGATACACAACCTAGGAAATACAGATCACTCCCCTGGGAGGAGCATCTCTGGTCAATCTGAACCTGTCTGTTGCAGCTGCTACTATTCAAAACTCCTTTTATGTGTGGAACAAAGGAGAAACGGTGGGAATTTTTTTTTCTTTTTTAAATAGTCCCTGATAAGAAAATCCACAAGAGAAAGGACTTACGGTTTCCATGAGTTGGTAACTTCAGTCAGCAAAGGCTGTCAATGCATTTTTTTCGAGCCCACCGTCTTTCTTGAAGGGTGCAGTTGGTCACCCAGGTACTAGCTGAAGGTTGTCTTGTTTTTCTGCTACTCAAGGCTTGCAACTGCAGATCATGAGCAGCAAGATGTGTGTGTGTGTCTATGTGTTTGGTCTGATCTGAAGTATGTTCCCTGGGCATTTCCCCCTCCCCCTTGTCTCTTGTCTTACTCGGCCTTGATTTCCTAGAACTTGATGACTGCTTGACAACTGAACACATTCTGACATTTGTAAATTCCCTTTGGTGTCAGTCTGATTTGCGTGCTTTCGCCTCCTCAACCTTTCAGCGCTTGCCTTTTCAAGAGGCTTTTTTGTGCCAAGAGGGGGGAAAGAAACCATAATCATAAAAATGAACTCCTTAGAAAAAAAGGCAGCCACACAGTTCTAGGAAGGTAACTGAACCTGTCATGGCCACTTACATCTCAGGCAGGAGAAGAAGAGGACCAAAGCAAAAACACGGGAAGGTGGAAATGTAGGAAGGATGATCTTAAGCTTTATCAACTGGGCTCATTTAATGCCTGGGGGAAGAGCCAGGTTTTCAATGCCTTGTGAAAGATCTGCTGAAAGTCTTTTGTTCCATAGGGCATGCCACCCAAAGGTCACCAAAATGTGGCTTTTCTTGGCAGGCGCTTTTGAGTGCCAGTGCAGAACTGACTGTTTCACCTTGTGGAGGGGATGCTGTTTGTGTCCTTCAGATGCAGCAGTGAAGGATTCCCCTTATCGAGGTGTTCTGCTTAGCTTTGGTGGCCTCTGACACTTCTAGTAACTAGAAGAAACTTCTGGAGATGTCTTTCTGGAATTTCTGGAGGAGGCCCTCAGGATGATGTGAAGTAACATGGCAGCTTTGCAGGCGTGCTTCATCTGAAGCATCTCCCACCGGTCGGGGACTTCAGACCAGCTTTTTATTGAAGGGCTGGCTTGTAGATATGCATGCATTTTTGTTTGAAAAAGAGCAACAGCCTTGTAGGGTTGTATTTCCTTTGAAATTAGCAAGAACCTGGGAGATGCACTGTCCCTGGATTTTGTCTCCACTCTCAGCCAGGGTTGGTTCATTGCCCAAAGCAACACTGGTGGAGTTCTTCTCCACCCAAGGAAAGGACAGCATTGCAGAAAGGGAAGCAAGCGGTGATGTTGCTGTTAGTAGACCACAGACTGACGTTGAGGGAGCAGTGCTGTGGGCATAATTAGAGAAGAGATGCCCACTGAACTACTGTCTGTGGCTTTCCCAAAGTTTGTGTTAATAGGTGAGAGCTGCACTGTGGAGAGGGCATCAAAGAATTTGGTTGGCATCATGTGCTGAGCCAGACTTGCATAACTAGCTTTTCTGGTCCTTGGGTTTGCTTAGGGATTCACAAGTGATGAACCAAACAGATTTGAAAGGGACTCCCTGGATTAGTTGGCCGGTTGAAAAAAAAAACGATGGAGAAGCCTGGTGGATGGGTGGTAGAAAGATTTCAATGGGAAGGATGTAGGAAGCAGCGATCCTAAAGAGCAGATTGGTTATGATCAACAGAACGGCTTTTTCAGTGCAGACTGGATGGCAATGGGCACTGGAAACCCGGAAGCAGAAGAGCAGATCCTGTTCCTGTGGAGGAGAATTCCTTGGATGAGTCTTTCAGAATGCAGGGAGTTGCCCCGCTGGTGCCATCCGGTTAACTTAGTCATTTGCCCATCCCAGGGAGTGTGGCCAGCAGAGAATACAGTAGAGTCTCCTTAGACAGATGACGCATTGCTTACAGGTAAGGGTGTCCTTATAAGTAAGAACATTCCAGGACAACTGAGCTGGACCAAGAGGGTCTCTTCCTTAAACACCTTGGTTTCAGGGTTCTGAGACAGGAAAAACATCTGCTTCTCTGACAATTGTATCTCAGCTTTCCCAACCGTGTCTCTTTTCTTGATGGACATCCTGTGCTTCATTCTCGGACATTGTCTGTGTTTGGTTTTTGCTGATCAGGTGCATCTTTGTTCTAGGCAAAACAATGGGGTTTTGAGCTGATGGTAGGGCTCTTTTTGAGCAGGCATTTCAGGGGATAAATGGATAAATCCATCTTTATTCTGCATGGGCCAGGCCCCCAAAGCTGCGTTTTGCTGGCGCTCTTGGATACGCTGGGCAAACCCACCCCAGGCATGCGTCTGATGCGTGTCCACTGTGGGTGGATCAGATAATCCCGTTGAAAGGCAAAAGGGGGGAGGAGGCTGCCTGCACACCATCTGCAGTGCTTAAGATGCTTCCTGCTAGCTTCGGAGGCTACCACCTGGCCATGAGTAAGACTGGGACATGGCAGAGGGAGGTTTTCTGTAAAGGATGTTTCGCAAGAGCATTCAGTCCAAAGCTGGGTCTGTGTGTATGGGTGGTCTACTGAAAACCAGAGGGGGCAATCTGCTCCAGAGACTGGAAAGTATCTTCTGTTAAAACTCGAAGCTAATGTTGTAGGAAGGACTGAGAGTGTTGACATGAAACTGTGGAGAAATGCTGCCAGTCAGAATCAAAAAATATGGAACTAGATAGACCAGCCTCAGTCTTGGATCCAAAGCCAAACTTGTGTGATTCTAGAGAACCCTTCCTGGCCACCTCATCTTATCAATAAACTTGGGTTTATGCCCACTTTTAGCTTCCCAACAACCTTGGGTTGGAGATCTGACTGGGAGATAACCACAAGTCCAAGATCAGCCAAGGAACTCTGCCAGAGCAGGTGCTTGGCTCAAAGGAAGTATGTCTGTGGAGCACTGCTCTCTTAAAGATGACCCAAGTGTGACATTAACTTTAGGCAGAGGTGCTAGACCTCAACAGATGTTGTCTAGTTGTGGTTTAAAGTTTTGGATTGGAAATGGGAAATCTTGGATCCAAAGACTTATTTAGCCACCAAGCTAAGCCTGACCCACCTCATAGCGTGTTGTGAGAATAAAAATAGGGTTGATGGCCATATGCTTCCAATCACATCACATCACATCACATCACATCACATCACATCACATCACATCACATCACATCACATCACATCACAT